GGCTAATGAATTGAAAAGTTTCGAGCCCTGGTTTATATTTTTTAGAGCATACTTTCCCATTAATTTTAGAGTAAGGCTAAGTTACTGTTTGTTAATTGTTTGTTTGTTGGTGGGTAGGATCACTTGAGTTCTACAATTGCTCGTACAAGCTGTAACTAGTAATCATGTTCAATGATCCTCTCTTTCTGGGTCTCACTATAGCACAAGTTGATTGCCATTGGTTAAAGTTTCTGGAAAAAGTAATTCTAGATCGGATGGATAAAGGCTTATTGATCGTGCTTACCTTGTCGTACACCAGTCCCCTCAGTGCGCTGCCTATTTTGATCCCCAACACTTCACCTCTGTAGTCTAGGTGGTGCATACCAAGACCACCGATCAAACCATTGAGACACATAGCTAAGGCGCAGGCGTAGATCAGGTAAGTATTCTCTGCCTCAGCTGACTTAAGCATTGAAACGAAATACCCGAGAAACAGTGGAAACAGAAGGCGAGAAGTTGTATACAATACATTCCCCGTCAAAATGATGATAACGTCTTTGACAGAAAGCATATCAAACACGCTTCTCCAAAGTTTAGGCCTTTTCCCATGTGTCTTGCAATGATGTTTCTTGCTTTCCCAGCTAGTTCGAAGCTTCTCGGTGACAAAACGGCCAGAGGTCTCGTCTGACAAGGGTAAAAAGTCACTTTGATCCAAAGGTCTCTGACTGCCCTCCTTAAGAACTCCGTTCATCCAACGGAAAAAGAGAGCAGATGCAGCACTGACTTCTTGATCGCCGTCATCACTGGAGATCTTGCTGTAGCCGGTTTTTGATTTCATCGCTTGAGACCTACAAAATATTCAGAAACTAATCTTATTCATGACTAGCGTGTTCAACGCAGTGGTCAAACGTCTGCGTATGTATCTCCAGGGTTTTAGAACCAAGTTTTTAAAACATACTCACAAGTCAGTAAGACAGGGTGTTTTTGTAAAACCGTAGGCCTTTTAAAGCAGTAGACCTAGAAAGTCCGGCTTTTAATGTCTTCTGCTTTACGCAAGGCACGTTGTCCCAAAAAGTCCATTACGTACAAAATGATGTGAGTGACTTCTTTGTTCTATGTCCTTAACATCTGAAAGAAGGTTTTCTCGGTTTCCTCCACTGCTCGAAGGAAGGACGTGTCGCATCCGCAAAGCATAAACTTCAAACGCTAAGTCAGCGGACACTGAGGCGGCAGCTTTCATTAATATTCCACCCGTCGATTCTGAAAAAGACTTTTAAAACCTCCCTGAGATCTTTTGATTTGAGTTTCTGGATGTCAGCTAAGGACGAAATCTCCATATTTTTGTATTTGAAAACCACTCTTAAGGGAGAAATCGCATTAAAAAGCGCATTCGAACACGAAATATCAGCAGATCAGCTATTTGAAAGAACCACTGGGTCAACCCCAACCTCGTTATCGCGTGTGCACGGATACTAATCCAATATGGCGCCGGGAACTGTAAAAAGGACCATTAGACAATATATTCTTGAATTATCTTTCTCTTGTGGAACAGGGTACTCATAACTATGTGGGATGCGACACTACCTTATAGCGTCATTATACAACCTCTAGTTTTATTCAATACTACAAAAATTGTGCTATACCAGTGCCACATGCAGTCTTTAGCTGTCTATATCTTAATCTTTCCCATTTTTCCCACATAAAATTTCAAATAAAAATGTCTATCCTTTTATTGCTAAGAAGCAATGTCATCGAAACTGCAAATGGTTCCTGTTATTTCGACGTTAGAAGTGGTCATCAAAAGCGAAAAAGGTACTTTTTTCGAAGCATTGAGAAATGGCGTTTCTCACGTGATTGGGATTGACAAGCCATTGAAAACCCTTCTGATCGGCTGTCAGCCTTTTTCTGCTTGAAATCCTTGAATCGACTCTCGTTTCAGAATCCTCGTTTTAAGATAAACATAGAATATTTGGAAAGCAACTTTTTAAAATAAGGAGTCTTATTAAAGAAAATAAAACACAAAAAGAAGTCAGTCAAACTCCGATGCAAAACTTTCCAGAGGTTAAAAAGCTTTCAGAAAGAAATGTGCTATTGCTTTGTGCGAAATGTGGGATAATACGGATGAACGGGATTCCTTTGACCAAGATTCCGTAAAAAAGTAGGCTTGTTTTCTTTGAATTTTTTTAATATTCGTTTCAGTAAAGTTTCCTTAATGAGAATTTGTGTGACATTTTTAGGTAGGACCGACGCACGGACGCAAATAAATTTCTCGCCATGAGTGATGGCTTTAGCTTAAAAATAGTCTTTCTCAAAGAGGTGAGAGTAGACGATGGAACGAAATCTTGTCTGATGCTTTCCATCCAAAATCTTCTAAAAAAATAAGAGGGGGAAGTGCGACAGAGATAAAATGTGGCGGAAATTTCAGTCTTTCACTGATTACGGCGCTTATGTATTTAGTTTTTCCGATAATTTCAACTGAGATAAAGTAAATAAAAGACAGTTGTCTTACCTCAAAGAAGGAGTAAAGAAGCTTGGCCACGAAGCATAAAGACCCGGCCATACGATAAATGTTGGACAATCCAACATATTGGTTGCATGTTGGACAGTCCAACATGTTGTAAATTAGGGGGTGGCCCAACGATACCAAACATCTGTTCAATATGTTTGATCAAACATGGGACGCATAGGGTTGTGGGCAAGGATATTTCCTAGCGCACACCACGTTGTAATATCCATGGATGTTTGAAACATGGCGGAGAGGAAAGAGAAATTTAAGCGTTGTTTATCAATGTTATTAGTGCTTGACGAGCTTGAGGAAACCGAGGATAGAGCAAGTAAACGAGGGAAAACAAGATAATGGATTCGAAGACGACAAGAGAATGGTTATTTTACCAATATTGTTCGAGAACTGGCCGCCGAAGACACGCCTGCTTATCACCAAATGATAAGAATGACATTCAAGGACCTCACTGTGATATTGCGAGAAATGGAAGTGAATATCACCCCCCGTGAAGTCCCAAAAGGAGGACATAAGGTAATAAGTGCAACCGAACGATTGACATTGACATTGCGTTTTCTTGCTACGGGAGAAACTTTTAGATCTTTAAGTTTTCAGTTTCGAATCTCCAGGGCTGCAATTTCGTACATAATTAAAGAAGTCTGTCAGGCGATCGAAAAAATGCTTGGACCGAAACTTTTAGCCAAACCCCCCCC